ATCTGGTCATTCTGGCACAGTTCCATGAACCCTGAGATTCTCTTGGCAAACTCTACCACGTGCTGGATTGCATGTGTGATCTGGATGGCACACTGTTGCCATAACACGTCCCGAGGCTAAAGTCAAACACATCCAGGTTACTCTGAAATGATGATTTAGTTGTTGTTGTGCAGATTTCAATTGGTGAATTGAGTTTGATGGTTTACTTCTTTTTTAACGACTTCTTGTTATTTCAGAAAGTTCAGGTTGATGTGAAGCCTTACCTTACTCTGGTACATCTTGACCTCTTCATAGGAGTGAGTTTGCCAGACGAGCTGCTGCAGTTCCTCTGCCGTGAACTGACAAGTCTCCAAGTGAGACTTAATGATGTTCTGAGCGATTCGGTCTGAAATGGATGATGAAGGTCATCAGATAACAACTGCCGTCACCATTTGTTCTGCATAAGAGGCTCTCCAGTTCTCTGCATATCATGTGATCATAACACAAAGGGTCAGCAGATACAGTATCTGCTGTGAGCTTCCTAGATTCCACATATTTTAATCTTAATTATATTTTTTAAAATAGAAACATTCATTTTGTTTGTTTCATTTTTTTCTTATACATATTTGATTTCTTCTTGCACTGTAAGAGTCACGCCCTTTCACTATACAGGGTGTCCTTGGTTTACAACGTCCTCGACCTACAGCATTTTCTGGTTACATCAGCTCACATAAATTTATTAAGAAAGTCTAGTTCCATCATTAGTTTGCACATGAACTTGTTGGCGAGTGGAGCAGATTAATAATATATGCAGAAAACGCCTCTGTTTACATTTCTTCCATTGTTGTTGTTTTTTTTTTATCCTTCATTATGGCTAAGTCAGACTCTTCTGATTTTTTTATGTCCAAGATTATCATGTTACCACTGTGTTAGCGTAGGTGAGGGACATAGGAACTGATGTACAGTATGTCAATTCTGACATACAGAGAAAAACCATTTACATTGCATTATAAGAACAGAGCTCTGACGTAAGTGGACAACCCCCTGTACAGACATTCACATTATAAGCAAACGGTAAATACATTTATGATGAACATCAAACAAATTTACCCAGCTCTCCCATGCCGGCGCCACTGCCTCCCCGCTGACTGTCCTGGTAACCTCCATAGCTAAAGAGGTTTGGAACCGGCGTCAGGTCGTACACTGGCTCCTGTTTAATGTGCTTCATACCTGACATCTCCAGACCCGATTGGTCCAGAGATGCCTGAGTAGAGTCCATCCCATAGGAACCCCCTGGCACTCCTCCCCTATTCACGTGGCCACCTTTGGGCAGCCTGATGACATGTCCATTGGCGTAGGTATCACCGATCTCATGGTTTAGTGTAGATAGTCCATTGGTCAAACTGATAGAGTAAACTCGAGCCAGAGCTTCAGCATCGCTAGTCTGCTGCTGTCGCTGCTCCTGCAGTCGGGCCTGATGTTTCTGGACCTCAGCGTACAAACTGTCCCGCTGCTTCTTTGACATACGACCAAACTTCACCGCTGTGTGGACAAAGACAACAAGAGATTTACATTTTAACTCTTATCTCAACTACAAACAGCACCAGGAACGACTGTGTGTACATTTCCACTACAAGAGAAACTAGTTCCAGAAACTTTTCTTTTCTTTGTTAATTCTTTCACCACAATAGAAACACAGCTGTTTAACTGCTGTTGACGTGAACCTCTCAGTTTATTGGAAGTGGTTCCTGTTAACACAAAATTCTAGTACTGAGTTGAATAAGGGTACAGAGAGAAAAGAACTAATGTAGATTGTCAAATATTTTATATGTATTTATTAGGGATGGCTCGATGTGATAGTCAAGATCAGTATCAATCTAATATTGGTCAAACTTTCAGGATTGGACATCTAACCTCAAACCTAAGCCCAAATTATCAACCTAACTTTACGCGTCATGCCGTAAATAGTCACCTCAGCTACAGCAGCCCACGGCATGATGGAAGAGAAACATCAGTATCAGCAGATGCTCCAAGTTGCAGTATCGGTATTGATATCGGACATGAAAAAGTTGTATCAAACCATTCCTAGTATTTATGTACTATTTTGGTGACAAAGGTGATAGAGTTGACCAGTGGAACACACACCGTCTCTGGACATTCCTAAAGCCAGACATTTCTGCAGACGACAGTGTTGACAGCGGTTCCTGTTGGTTCTGTCGATAAGACAGTTTCTCTGCCGGGGACAGGAGTAAGACGTGTTGTTTTGTTGACTCCGTCTGAAGAATCCCTGCTCATACAAACAAGACTTGGAATTAGATTTCAAATAAACAAACAAACCCTGCAGTTTGGAGTTGAAGTTTTGCCCTCACCTTACAGCCCTCACACGTGATCACTCCATAGTGAATTCCTGAGGATTTGTCTCCACAGATTTTACAAGGTATTACTTCGATTTGAGCTGTAGGGACAAAAAGGATGGTAGTTTTTTTTTTTTTTTAAATAAGCTTCGGTTTTGGAAAAAACACAAGGAAAGAAAAGGTTAAGGTTAATCCTGGACAGAGCACGGCTCTCTGCCTTCAGTGAGGACATCTCAGACTCTGCTGGGCGTCCGTTTTAATTGGAGGTTAAAAATAAAGGCATAGTTCAG